ATGTAAATCTTCCCAATTTTTCCCTGTGTGTCATTCTGCTTTTAATTTCCATCTTTCCTCTGACCTCTTTCTCCAGCCATGTTGAAAACAGCATCACTACACAATTCTGTCAATACGGGATGATATCAATGAAACCGCATCAATTATTGCCAAAAAGTTCAATTTTACGAGCGAAAAAACAGAGATGTTTGTCTTTCAGGGTCTGACAAACATTTAAGTGCCTTTTAGAAAATCCCACACGAAGGCCGGCGTTTTAATCTTTTTATCTCCTCCTCTTTTTAATGTATACATGGATGGCTAATCTATCCAGCTAAATTATTATTATTAGTGTACAGTGGGTAGTAACCTAATAGTTTATACATATAGATAATTTACTTATTTTTTTAAAGGTCTGCTCTAAATAAGATTTTGACTTTGATGTTAATTGGAATGCAAAGAAGATAATAATTACTATTATCATTGCAATTAGAAGAAGTAAGAAGATTAGTAAATTAGTTTTTCCTGGTATAGTTATACTGTGGTGAAATTACTTGGATGTGATTACAGCTAACAACCTGGCTGATGATGTTGATATCAACAGTGCTCAGTAATGAATGTGTACAAGCTACGATGCGGATAAATAAGTTCAAGATATTCTCTGCTCTGTACCTGTGAAATTTGTACTTTTTAAAGCAAACTTTTTTCTCCTATTTATGCTGCCTATCTGTGAAGGCACTTCAGAAAAACCATCATGTGGAAACTTACTGTAGCATATAGTGATGGAATGAGGCTGCTGCTTGAGCTGCCAAGATGTAGCAGTGCAGGCCAAATATTTGTTAATGTTGGCATAACTACTTGTAAGGCTGTATTGTGCAATATCATGTACAGATGTATATGCAGGTTAATGGACCATGACTCAAGCACAGCTAGGTTTTATTCTAATATCTGGAATCATTGATGTCTTAGGTACATTATTGACATTGTTCCTTTCTGTTACCTGTGGACCAGCATGTGTCTAAAATAAAGTAACACAGAAAAGTACAAGTAAAAGGCTGTAGTCCAGCTCTACAAAATGCTCATTTACAATATAAGAATTGTTTAATTTCTGACCAAGCATTTTTCCACTTCTCCTGAAATTGTGGCTGCTCTCCATATGGAGGACAGTTGCTTCGGATCAAGTTTTTGACCATGTCATAATTTCCCATACACAAGTTTAAGCAAGTATCAGTAAGCAACTGTGACATTTTTTCAGGTACTTCTTTTTTCTCTGATTGACAGTTGATAGCTTTTTTTTTTTTGCTTTGATTATTTTATTACTCCATCCAGATAGGCCAGTTCTGATGTTAATTGTTTTGAACTCAGAGGAACAGTAAAAAAGAAAATAATGGACAGTCAAATTTGAACTATTAACATTTTGATGACATTATGATGGCAAAACATAATCCTAATATGGATTGTGGACTTAAAATGACTTACTTTTACATCAAGTGACAACATATCAGGCAGAAATTACGCATACAGAGATATAGCTGTAGGATGATGTGTACAAATATGAGTGAGTATGTATGTACATCAGACCAATGTTGCCACAGATGCCTGGTGGACTGGTCCCAGTAAGAATGGAGCTCATATAAACAGGCTTGGTCGTTCCCACGTCTCTGTTTACACTGGGAGACCCTGGAGCAGCTTTACCAGAGCACTGGATTCCCTACTTACAGCAAACCCACACGCCATTTATCACCATTTCATACAGAAACACTTCCACATAATATATAGCATACAGATAGACTGTGTGTACTGAAGATGGAATTAGCCTGTGCAAATGTCTATCAAAGACATGTGCAACTTCCTCTGACTCATGTTGATTTTCTGTCATTTCAAGCATGTTGCAGCTAATTTAATGAAAATCAGGCAGTGTGATTTTCATCCTTTTAATGCCTGTTAAAAAAAGAACTGATAAACATTTGACTCACAGTCATCAAATACTGATTTAAACACTGCCACAAAGACTCTCCAAAGCTTTAACTTTTGCTCTCCAAATCCTTTTGAAATGGGTCTGTGATGTACGCCCAACATAAACAGAACACTGGGGTCCTAACAAACACACCCAGTTTACAGGCAAAAGTGAGTTAGCTGTGGCAGAATATCTCTGCTTTTCTTTAAAAAAAATGTTGAATGTTCTTGGTAAACATTGGTGACATTTAAAGGCAGGAAGAGCCCTTCAATAGAGTGCAGTGCATCTTGCTAGCTTGGAACAAATTATATGTCTTTTATATGATGTTTTCAGTGTGTGTGGTTGTGTGTCTCTGTGTGGCCCTGAGGTGAGCGGGGTGGACCCAACCTCTCACCCGTTGTCAGCTGGAACGGGCTCAAGCCCCCCCGCGACCCCGTTTGGAATAAGCAGTACAGAAAATGAATGGATGGGTGATATTTTCTATCAAAGAGTATTCCAGCACTGTACCATTCAAAGGGTTTGAAGTCAAATTTAAAATGTGTGAATTATACACATGTGTCTTGTTTGAAATCGAGAGAGATTAGCTTTTATTACTCTCCTCCCAAAAACCAACTGTTACACTTTTGACCCTTGGTCAGCAGCACATAAGATCAAAAATGTTCCCATTGATATAAATGTATAACTAATATCCCCCTTTCCCTTATACTTCCTTTGACACACTCTCACAAAATAATAGATTGCTAGATCATTTACTTGTGAAAATATTTGCATCTCTTAAGTGATAAGTGCTTGAATTTGCAGGTTTACATGTTGTATCTTATGACGTAATGAGAAAAAGAGCATTGTTCCCCTGGGAACAGGCCGCCCCAGTGATATGCAGCCTAACAAACTGTAAACATACTCCTGCGGCTTCAGTCGGTCATCTCACAACACACAAAAACACATGCACAGCATTACTGCAAGTGCTCTGACTTTCCTAACTTGCTCTAAATCTAAACCTTTATAGTAAACAACTTGGGACAACTGAACAAGGCTCTTGAGAAGAATGGATGTGGATTACAAGGCTATATTTCACCAAGAGAAGCCCAGGAGGATTTAATGAGAGGAGGAAAGAGACAGTTTGGTAACCAGGGAGGGAGAACAATAACAAGGATGAATCATAAAGAAGTTATTTTGCTGTTTTGTTTGGGAGAGGGCCAGGCGGGAGAAGTGTTTGTAGTGGTCTGAGTTGAAGAGCGGGTTGCAGCACACAATGCACAAATGTTCATAAGCAAGTCATAATTCATGGACCTCATCCCATACAAACTAAAACATAAATGCATACACATACATCCAAACCTTTGCTTGGTTAAGTCATCCATTTCATAAAGGTGTCATTCTGTTCTGTTAAAGGTTCATGCACCGCTGTGCAAAAGAAACATGTCAGGCACAAAAGAATCATTTCCCAAAGTTTATGATTTTACATACTGTAAATGTTTATTAATTGTTGTCGGGAAATTATGTTAACAAATGTGTCTTAATTGTAATGTTGCCATTCATCTTGAGGTTAGTTAAAATAAGTCATAAGTCATTTCAAATTCATAATTAGAATTGAAAAACTTTTCACATGTGAAAAAGACACTTCTCCAGCTTTTGTCATAAGCATGTTACCTTCCATATGGGTATCTACAGTATCACATTTTAATATTGTTGGAATAAGTTAGTTGACATTTTCATTATGTTAAATGAGCATTATCTATGCTTTGTATTTTTTGTTTTCCATTTAACTGCATCATCAATTTATTCAATTGTTATTGATGTTGTTTATTTATTGACATTTTAAGTTTTCTTCAAATGGCAAAATTACATTGAAATCATGATAATGTTTTGTTAAAATTTCCTGCTACATTTAAATCAAATTACAATACCATTTCTTGTGTTAATGGAAGAAAAATTTAGTTTCACTATTTTTTATTAGTGATTCACATTTACAAGCAACCATTTTTATATTCTAAAAATCTCGGTGTAATGAGATGAATAGAACTTTTTTCTCATATTTGTTTGTCGTATTTTGAAAATGGAAGCCGGAAGTTGACTTTACGCTGAAGTCACCGCAAGGTCAACAGATTTATTTTGAAAGGACAGAGCGGAAATTGCACACGTTTCGGTGACCTGCAAAGGAAGAGGGTTGGCAACAAATATTTCCAATTGACTGACTTATTCATAACTGCATCACGATAGCTAAAACGGTAAAACCAAACATTTTGCATCCCCATGTGGTACAGTTTGCTCTCGAAGGTTCTTGAAAACGAAGGAATTTGTTCTCAGTTTGTCAACAAAAAGCGACACTGTTAGCTACCGATGCTAATAACTTTTCATTCATTGCTGCCTGTGTACTCTTTGTTGCTTGCTAACGGGTAGCTTTCTTCACAACATTAGCTAGCAGGGAAGAGGTTTCGCCAACTGCATTTTTTTTTTGGTTTCTAGTAACTAAGGGAATATGGGACATGCGTTGATGCTGCCCTTGTCCGTTTTTTAGGCATAGCCTATTTGACGGTTGGTTTACTTGGCTGGTGAAATTAGCTAGCATCATTTGCCCAAACCAGTTTGTGAATTTAGACTCAGAAGTGTATCAGCTGCTTCACTGTACCGTATTGTTTCGTTGATTTACATTTGTGATGAAACACTGGTCCTAGGATTTGGCTATGGTGTAACACTGTCATTTTAATTTTGTTTGTAAAGGTAGGGTCATTTTATAATTCGGATTACATTTGCGCCACAAGACTTATTCTGACACGTTAATTTGATTCAGATTAGCGTGCACAGAGGCTTGATGTGACAAATGCCTTATTTATGGCAAGTTACTTTCATACCGGAAAAAGGGATTCAGATATGTTTTGTCCAACATTTTTGTGCCTCAAAGTAGTATAAAAACTTTTCAAAGGACAGTAGTATTGTTAAACTTTTGGAAATGTTTCTTGAGCTCAAGCTGTTTCTTCTTTTATTATATGACCAGCTAGACCTGCCTCCCTGACCATGAAGTGATGATAATGATGATGGCAGCACTGGTGATGAATGCATAAGAAGAACGCCCCTGTGGTCCCTTTGCTGCACCGTTCTCTTCCTCATGGATTCCAGTGATGAGGCCCTTGACATCATTGTCACCAACGTGGTGGCAACATTCAGGACCAGATGTCACCTTAACCTGCGCACCATTGCCTTAGAGGGAACCAACGTCATCTACAAGCCTGAAGTAGGGGTAAGGAAATCCTCTTTAGGGGCAAAAAAAAGCCTTATTGTTAATTGATATAGGTCAAATGGAGTGTTTCTTAATTTAGACAAATTTAGCATTTCTCTTTTGTTTCACAGAAAGTACTGATGAAACTTCGTAAGCCCAAGATAACGGCCTCAATATGGTCCTCAGGGAAAATAATCTGCACTGGCGCAACAAGGTAGGAAAACATTACAGGGAATGCTCCCCTATTAATAAACTAATTGGATGGTGCAAAAAAAGTTTCCCACTCATCAAGTTTCTCACAACTGTATGTTTGTTGTTTTAAGGAGCTGCTTAATTTTATAAGAAATTGTTGATCTTCTACCTATCAACAGCTAGAAATTGAGTAGCTCACATACCACACATAACTATGGGATACCTCCAAGATGTCCAAAATTAGGGAATAAATATTTTCGTCGTTTGTGGACATCTTGTAAGTCTCTGTTTCTTATGCCTTTGTTAAACGAAGCCATGCAGCCATGCAAGTGCTTAAAAGTTAAGGTTTTTTCAGAAACAGATCATCGTTAATTTGTAGCGTCTGCTGCAGGTTGAATAATGAAGAGGGTGTGAGATCATTTACATAGGCAATTTCATTCAAACCAGAGGACACTTGTACCCTTTGGATGCTTTGTGCTTAAAGTATAACAGTGTAATATTGTCACTCATTCCTTCTCTTTTTTTTTATCAGTGAGGATGAGGCAAAGCTTGGAGCTCGCAGGTTAGCACGCTGTCTGCAGAAACTGGGTTTCAAGGTGAGCTTAATCACATTCCATTCAGAAGCTAGTTGATTTTCAATATAAAGCCTATCTTTCCCACGAAGCTCTGAAGAAAAACTATACTAATGTTTATGTATATATATATGTGTGTGTGTGTATATATGTATATATAACTAAATTCAATACAGCTTTTTTTGTTGTAAGCCCAAATTAAGCTTTTGTAGACAGAACAGCACCTGCCTTCACTGGTCAACATCTATTGTTGGTACACTAATGTACTCGTTGTTCGCTGCTCAGGTGAGGTTCTCCGCGTTCAAAGTCGTGAACGTGTTGGCAGTGTGCTCCATGCCGTTTGCAATCCACCTGGTAAACTTCACAAACAACAACCGGCCCATTGCCAGGTAATACAGTAGTGGACATCACCATTAATGTTTGCCCTTTGTAATCCTCCACTGGTAAGGCCGGGGAATATGAACAACTCTTGCACTGCTTGTTTATCTCGCCTGAGATTGCACTTATCTTTCATGTTTATTTGATACGTTGCCATCCAATAATGGATGGCAAAAAATCTCATTATTTGTAGTTGGTCCATATGAGGGCGGCATGGTGGTTAGCACCATCGCCTCACAGCAAGAGGGTTCTGGGGTTGAGTCCCCGGGGGAACCAGGACCTTTCTGTGTGGAGTTTGCATGTTCTACCTGTGCTTCGGTTCTCTCCGGGTTCTCCAGACACCTGCATGCTAGGTTGAATGGACGTTCAAAATGTCCCATAGGACTGAGTGGTGATTCGTCTTTGTATCTATATTTGTGGCCCTGCATTGGACTGGCGGACTGTCCACTGTTGACCCCGCCTCTCACCCATTGAATACTGGAATAGGCTCCAGTCCCCCCCCGACCCCATTTTGGGAATAAGCGGTTACGAAAATGGATGGATGGCCCAAACGATAGCCTTGCCGGCTGCCATACTTTCTTTCATTATGTATGGGATGACCTCTAGTGGTCGAAGGTATTTGGCAACACTGTTGCTGATTTTGCTAATATTAGAGGGGTTGGCCGGACAAAAATAATGCATGAAAGTTCTTTACACATATATATCTTTTGTATGTCCACTGAAACAATCCCCCCATTGTTTGTATGGCAGTTATGAACCGGAGCTCCATCCTGCTGCGACGTACAGGATCAAAAATCTAAAGGCAACCATACAAGTGTTTTCTACAGGCAGCATCACAGTCACAGGTATCTCACTCTCACATGAACACACACACACTTTCCCTAGTTTTTCTATGCAGCCAGAGGGAATACCAGCTTAAAAGATTGAGGCCATAAATCTCTAGTAATTTTTCCAGAAGAAACAACCCAATTCCTTAAAGAATTTTAGTATAATTTGTGTCCCGTTCCTATGTGCGGGAAAAAAAGGTTCCGCATTGGAGTAAGCTTCATCCACACTGTTTTGTTTAGAAGTGGTTTTAGTGTTTTAGCACAACTTTATTGTAATTTCTTTTTGTCGTATCGTGACATTAGGACCAAATGTGCAGAATGTGGCCACAGCCGTGGAGCAGGTGTACCCACTTCTGTTTGAGTGTCAGAAGCCCCTCAACAAGAGAAAGGAATGAAACTTGGGAGGACACAGGAGATCATTGAAGGAGAACTTAAGACAAAGGAAGGAGCATCCTCTCTTTGGATTGATCAGCTTGTTTTTATCGCTGCGTGGAAACGGCCATAAATCACTAAACTAACAGACTGGACGTGAATCTCAAGTTTTAATGAATCTCCTCGAAGTTCGGGAAAGTTACTTGTTCTTTCCCATATGCTGGTTTAGATGTTAATGCATGGGCACACCAAAAATGTTTTATATTATATACATATATATAATAAGTATATGTATATTTTAATGCTTATCAGTGGTGATCATTGCAAAGTCCATCTACTGACAAGCCCCTTCTCTTAATCTATGTATGGGCCCTTTTGTCTTTCTCCGAAAGAATCTCCGTCCATATCTGTTCCTACTGGTGAACACAGTTAAAACACATCCACTCCATTGTGACGCTGAAACAGACGGCAACATGTGGAAACAAACTACGGTTAAAAGTGTACACAAAGCTAAACCCCGTCTTTACGCACACTCACAGATCCTTTCAATTTAGGGTGCGCTTTCATCTCTGAAATGTTTAACAGCGGGTTATCTTTTAACATCTGGTATAAAATTCTTTTCGTCCTTTTCTAATATTTTTCACTTGGCTATGTTTGTTCTTCCAGTCCTTTAAAAGCGTGATAAAATGTATCAATGCCCTGGTTGGTTTTAAATGTTGTAAAATATTTCCAAGAGTTCAGAATATTTTTTATTTTCTAAAACCTCTTTCATTTAATACAGTCATGTATACAAAATGCAGTCAGTTAACATCCAAAACAAACTGTCTTTTATTGTTTTAGAATGACAGAAGTTATTCAAATACTGTCCAGCATAGGCTATATTTGTAGTGAACCACAGAGCAGAAACCTAAGGTGAGACAGGAAATCAGAAGTACACAAGCGGCAGCCTGTGGAGTCATGCGCAGTTGTACGGCAGCAGTAAACATTTAAGAGTACATTCATGTGAGCTTTCACAGCAGCAGAGAATATTCAACATTGGAGCCTAGAAAAGGACCATCACCTTCCAGAGAAAGCAGTGTTTTAATGGTTGTGCATCTGCTGACAGCTCAGCTTAGCTTTGTGTGGTGTGCGGCCGATCCTGTGCGGATGTAAATAATGTACGCGTCTGGTATGAAAGATGTTGACAAAAACTTTGACATGTAGTCTGTGTGGGGATGGAGCACTTTTTGTCAGCTTCCTATTTGTCACACAATTTTTGTATTTTGTAAAAAAAATAATAAAAAGACAAAAAAAAAGCCTGTAAGACAACTACCAGTAAATGCTTGTTTTTTCTTTCCTATCTGTTGTGTAAATGTATACTGATCGTAGTGGAGTGTATCAGTTTCCAGCCTCCTAAGAAAATGACATTTTTCATTCAAAATAACTGGACATGGAAAAAAGAAAACATGAATCGGTATCAAAGTACACATTCTAGAAAAAGGCTATTTGATATATGAGCGGATCATCCATAAAAATTCTATTTTCTGTGTAAAATATTCCACTCATTTACCTGTTGGGTATCATTTTTGGCAACATTCGTAGCATTTCTCACACCTTTTCATTTAATAATCTTTTCAGGTGTTATACTTTCTAACCCACAACGGCATGCCACCCAAAAGAGCTTTTGATTGCTTTGTCCTTGAGATTTTAGAAGGCAGTAACACTAAATCACAATGCATGTGCCCATAATGTGCAGAGGACAAAACAAAAGAGCTCGACTCAAAAGAAAAATCTAGCTGGTTTGATCTTTTGTTGTGTTTGTTGCCCTGCATGTGAGAGCAGACCAACGTTTAGGGATTAGTTTGCCTGCCAGTAGGCAACTATGGGGTTAAAACACTCATCTCAGGTCATTAGTGTCTGATTTTCAAATACTTGTAACATTAAAGTTATGTGATTAAAAGTAAAACCTTTTTGTTGTTCAGTTCTTAAGGGGCTTCATTGGCTCTGCCATCTGTCGGCTCCTTTAATCTTTGAGCCTGTAGAGGAAAACAGATCAAATATGTACTAGGCAACCCCGTATGTGCAGCGCTGTGATCTGCAGTCAGATGCTGGCTGGCTTCTCTGTGGCTGTGCTCTTGCTGATCAGGCTGTCTTGAGGCTGAGCGGGTCTGAAAAGTTTCACCTTAAAGTTCTTCCTGCCGAAGGAAGGCCAGAGGCAAATCAGTTCCACAAAGCAGGTAAAGCTAGATAAACGGTTAACGTTTCCAACTGGGTGCCGCTTACTTCTTAGCCAGCTCTTTCGATATCTCCTCCAGGGTGCGGCCTTTGGTCTCAGGGATGCAGAGGATGACGAACACCAGCAGAACAAAGCTCATGGCGGAGTAAAGGAACATTACATTGGGAACACCAATCTTTTCTAAAAAAAAAAAAAATGATAGCCTTCAGCCAAAGTACATAGATAGATAATGTAAAATATGGTTGTATAATGAACATATTCCCATAAAAAAGATGGTATACAGTTTCGATTATGGAGCTGGCTGATGTGACACCTTTTTTCTCCCCTGAGCTTAATTCAAAATGCCTGCAACACACAAACCTGTGATGGTCAGGAATGTCATGGAGATGAGCAGGTTTGTGGCCCAGTTGACAGCCGACACCACGGACACGGCCTTGCCTCTTACTCCCATTGGAAAGATCTCGCTGAGAACCACGTAGACCACTGGAGGGGGAAGCAAATGGACCCAGACAGGGTCAAAAGGGGAAACCTCAGAGTCGGGCTTCACATTGTGTCACTTGAGGAACTGAAGTGTTCCTATCTTTTATCTATTACTGAACGATAGTAACCTGTGCACTTTGTACTTAATTATGCAACATGATACAAGTGTCAGTCATTAGAACTTGAAACATAACTTTTTCTGAGTAACTATCACTGATGAATTGGAAAGACATGACCCAAAGGAAAGGAACACTGATGACACCCTTTCCTTCATATCAAACAGTAGAAATAAAACTCATGCTGTCATTTGGTTAAATGCTAAAGCGAGCCCAGAGGGGTCAGCACAGGCACATCATTCTCTCATTCTGAGTATTTGCGTGTTAAGCAAGTGGAGGCGGACAAATAATGGCTGAGCACTCACTTGGCCCGAGGCTAATGGAGAAGGCTGCCACAAACACCAGCAGACTGATCAACGACGCCCACTTCAGCGAGGAGGACACTTCCGTATGAGCGCCCCCCCGTCCCGGTCTCTCCGGCCTGTCACCTTCTGTTGGGGCTCTGTGTGGCTCCTCGGTGTCCCATTGGCCGGGGGGCTGAGTGGGGAACACGTCGGCGGTGTCTAAGTCCACGGAGGTCCGGTTCGAGTCCCACGGCACGTGCGTGTGGTTCGGGGCGGTCCGGCTCTTGCACAGGCTGGTGAGCTGAGTGTGGCTCTGGAGGGTCAGCGTGCCCAGGGCCGCCAGCGACATCCCCATCGCCACGGCGCCCACGCACAAAAAGCTCTTGGGCCCCACGCGGTCGACCAGCAACACGGCGGGGATGGTGCCCACCACTTTGACCACTCCGAAACCCGTGGAGGCCAGGGTGGCGGCGGCGTCGCTGCGGAAGCCCACGCTGCGCAGCAGGGGCGAGGCGTAGGACAGGATGTTGGGCTGGCCCGTGGCCTGCTGCAGGAAGACCAGCGCCACGCCGGTCAGCAGCCGCCGGCGCAGGTTGGCCTTGGCGCTGAAGAGCTCCCAGAAGCTGTGCTCCGACTCCTCCTTCAGGCCGGCCTGGATGTCCCGCAGCTCCTGCGCCACGCTCTCCGCCACGCCCCCCCGCATGCGGGCCAGCACCGCCCTGGCCCGCTCCACTTTGCCCCGGGCGACCAGGAAGCGCGGGCTGGGCGGGAGGAAGAGGAGAGCGCCGATCTGCAGCAGCGCCGGGGGGATCACGAGGCCGAAGGTGTACGCCCAGCCGCGAGGCACGGTGGCGAAGGCGTAGCTGCAGCCGAACCCCAGCATGACCCCCACCACCAGCATCAGCTCGTACAGCGTCACCAGCAGGCCCCGCCTCTCCCGCGGCGAGATCTCCGCGATGTACAGGCAAGCCGCCGTCCCCGACAGGGCCGTCCCCATGCCGACCACCAGGCGGCCCATCGTGAGGGCAGCCAGCGAGGCGACGGCGATGAGCACGAGGGTCCCGCCCACCACCAGCCCCGCGCTCAACAGCAGAGAGCAGCGCCGGCCGTAGCGGTCAAGGACGGGACCGCCGGCCAGGCAGACCAGGAGCGCGCCCAGCAGGTGGGAGCTGACCAGCAGCTCCTGTTCCCGGCAGGAGAGGGTGAGCACGCCCCGCAGCTGCAGCAGCACGCCGGAGGTCAGGCCCATTTCATAGCCCAGCATCAGGCCACTCAGAGAGGCCGATGCCGCGGCGAGCACCACCAGCCAGCTGCAGCCTGCAGGCAGGGAGCAAACACAGGGAGGGACATCAACGGGGGGCACGGTCCAGTCGCTGCTTTACGATGGCCAAAGAAGCCCGGGCAAGTTAGGGAATGGGTAGTCTGACACCAGCGTCCACACCACGGCATTCTGTTTTTTTTTTAATAGATAGAATAGCTGACTAGTGCTGACATTATCCTGAACGTATTCTCACACATACGAGTTAAACGTTTTCATGTTGTTCCAGTGGAAAAGGCAGATGTTTTACACTCCTAAACACCTTCTGTTTCCACTGAAATCATCTGAAAATGTATCAAAAGTGAGAGAACATTTCATTAGTGTGCAAGAGAATTTCAGCTTTTGAGTTTGAGCAAATCCAGAATAATGTCCCAAACAGCCACTCACAGACTACTTTAAGAATACTCTTTAAAAAGCAAAGTTAGGGGGGAGGTAGAAAATCATAAAGCCAAATGCTGAAATGCTTCAGCATTCTGCTCTCAGCCAACTTTGCCTCTGAGCAGCTCCAGCTTTTCTCTTTCTCCTCCCAACAGTGCTGACACTGTGAATCAGAGGTCAGAGGTTCACAGAGAGCATAATGAGGCAATAATACATGTCTAATAAGTGATTAGAGGACGAATGAAACAAGCAGAGAGAAAAGTGAATCATTTTACACCGGAGAAGTTTGAAATGTATTCATTCAATATTTGCATAAACAAAAGTCACATCCTTATCCTCATGCTGCTTTTGCAATAACTTAAACTGTGACTTCTACATGCAATTTCTCTTTTAATTACCGGTATTAAGAAATTATGCAGACATTGATTTTCATTACGTAATCTCTTCTTCATATGTTAGCCAGGCTTTTGCTGAGGTATAGTTTTCCAATGGCAAAACATTTTTGTAAAAAGACAACAGAAACTGATCTCAGAATTCCGATGCTGTTTGAAAAAGTGTTTCAAAAAGCATAACTTAGAGAAAAGTCTTAAAAATACTACAATCAATTCAGGTTTGCTTTAATGTTTTTTCAAAGCTGGGTTTGCCGGGGCATGTTCACCCACCGTGTTACATCACCTCTTATGAAATCAACAGGTGTTTGGTAACTGGCTTGATATTAAACTGAAGCAGGAATTTCTTCTTTTGCTTTTATGTTTGGAGACAGTCTGTTGCACGGCTGCTGCAGCAGCTGGTGCTGCAGGTTAGCAGCAAATGTCACTGGGAGATGAGGGGCAATTAAATAGTTTCATGAATATGAATTTTTATGTATCTTATACTGTCACTGTCACTGATGCTGGCTTTGAAACTATCTTTAAGAGATTTCAAAAGCAATATGATCCTTGTCTTCCCATTGATGGACATAGCACCCATGATGTCCAAAATATTTGAATGTTTTCCAACTTTTAATGTTTTACTAAGTTTCCCAACTTTATAGGAGCAAAGAATTCAAATTATGTCTAAATATAATCAACCACATTTTTTTGATTTAAGTTAACTGTTTGACTGCAGTTTTATGCATTGAGTTTTACATATAACAGACTGTTGTTAACAGATTGTTACATATAACAAACTGTTGTATGTGTATTAATGCAAAAAGATTTGTTTAAACCAAACAAGGTAGAAACCTTGTAGAAAAAGTCTGAAACCCTTGAAAAACAAAGCTCAGTTTAAGGGTTGACTGGTTAATGTTTTATATTACGGGAATGGAGCTGAATGAACCAAGTCTTTCCCAATACCGATTCTTTGCCACTAAGTTCAAAGTAACAAAACCACAGTAACAGAGTCATAAACAACTTTTGCAATTATGACAGCTATTTTGACCTTCTCAGGATTAATGGACCAGTTTTAACAAAGACTCACATAAGTTCCCACAAAGACATCTCACTTCGCCTCATCCTCAAACAGGTCCTACTTTATTAACTGGTGCTTTTCAGCACAACTGATTCTAAAAATAGGCTTGATCATTTATGTTGGCTATTTGAGTAAATCATGTTAATAGTGCACTGTTTGCACTTGAATTATTCTTCAGGCAAACCCTTATTTAAAATAAAGCTTGGGCTCCAAATAAAACACTGACACACATTTAACTTAATCTTGCATTTGTGTTAAATAGATAATAGCTTGTTGTTGTAAACCTCTAGCACCTACTAATGCAGACAGGATATGAGCAAATGTAGTGTGGGGGGTTTGTGAGGACAGGACAAAGACATGATCAAACACAGTATTTTATCTGATAAGACGTCCCCGGTCGCGGTATGTACCTGATCCTCTGGGTGGGGTCAGTTTCTGGGTCTCAGAAGAGTGGTTGTCTGGGAGGTAAGAGGTCATCTTCTTGGTCTCAGTTTTGAGGTCCATTTTCAACCAGACGTAATTGGAGGCCTAGTCCAAACATATACACAACATTTAAACACAACTCAGCTTTATTGATTTTGTGAGCCATTTGCAACAAGACTGACCCATTTGATTCTCATTCCCCTACATCTAATGAACTCTTCTTTGTCTTAATATAAAGTTGGGAAAAAAAACCTCAAGATTCATTTTTCTTATGAAAACCAGTACTTCATTTAATGCTGCCACACCAGTTCTGACTGGTGCCTCCATGAATAGTAGAAAATCCTATTTGTTCTACCAACACAGACTCTACCTTTACAAATGTCTAGTAACCACTGATTGGAAAAAAAAAAAAAGCTCAAATGTCTTAACACAAGCATTTACACAAGAGCTTTTAAAAAAGGTTTTCCTAATACCCAAACATTTGACCTGCTAACTGGTCACAACAAGCAAACAAAAGATAATAAAGACCAGATATGGGATGCCAGCTCTCCACATGTGACAACTGTCAATACTTGCAGCCAGATTTTGATCAATATGTGAAAGAAGATACGCAAAAAGTGATGGTTGGATGTCTGGTTTTACACATGGATACACAGGAATTTTAATCTTGCATGATTAAAAGAATGTATAGTAAATTCACTAGAAATCCTATGCATTACAGTATATAATGTATAGAATATAATATAGTATACAATCCTATGCCTATCCCAAATTGCTTTACTACTGTGGATTGTATTAGTGCATCCTGAGGAGGAGAGACCTTATACTTTCTGTAATTTGCTAAAACAAACATAAAAAATGTGCTTCCATCAGTAGAAACTACAACGTTGGATATTTATTCAAAAGCTCCAATCCAACTGAAACATTGTTGAACGACGGTCATAAAGAAAATAATCTACAAACAAAGGTGTGATCAAGTTTTCGCTGCTTCTATGAAGTAAATGCGGTGATTCATCTAATTGAGGAGGGCATTTTTCCAAGTTTCTGAGTCTAGTTGCATGTGCATTTCTTTATTTGGGATTTTTTTTTAGATTTTTAGTGAGACTCTTTAGAGACACTTTAGATTTGAGAAAGGGACAGCTCCCTTTATGTTGTGGCTCCCTTTACCTGCAAACACACGACCTGGCATACAATGCTGACATTGTTAGACACCAGAGAGCACTGGCGTTCAACAAGTCAAAACCTCCTAACTGGGAGTTCCAAACACTGCTGAGACATGGGCTTTACCTCCGTTAACTTGCAAGACTGAAGTTGTTCCACGACTTTGAAAAGTTCAAACAAGTACAGCTGTTATGGCAACTGTGCGCAGTGACATGGTTCTTACCTGACAGCCCAGTTGTGTAACTGTTGTCGGTTTAAAGGCTTGTTTGTGGGGCCATTCGCCTGCTTCTCAGCACTTTCTCCCCGCGCAGCCTCCCCTCCCGACGCAAAGCCCCGTTACACTCGTGTTAGCGCACGCGTTCGGCTTGTTATGGTAAGGTATTTGCTTAACCACGCCCCTTTCTCGATTCGTAAACCAATAGAAAGCGCTGACTCGGGCTCTGTGTTGCCAACGTGAGATCCTATTGGTCGGAGCGTATGAAACCGGTAGTGTTCAGAAAAAGTCACTGTAATGAAGTAATGAAATAATGAATGAATTTCTGAAATGATGAGCTGAGGAGCGCTGCACATGTCTCTAAATAAGAGAGCCGCTTCAGTAGCTAAAAAGACTGAGATAATCTCATAATTTGTTAAGATAAATCATTCCTGACAGTAACTGTAGGTTAAAATATCGTATATATATATATATATATATTTCCCCCCCACCCCATTTATGCAAGAAGTATATCTGATTATGAAATCCACCTGTATCAATATTACTATTTCTCTCATACTGTAAGTCAAAACAAACTGATCTGCCACCTGCTATTTTACATAGTTCCCATGTCCTACTTCTGCAAAAGGCCTGCGCTGACACACCTGCCTCTGTTGCTCCACAGATGGCTGAATGTAGCCTTTAACATGCATGGAACGCTCTGTTTGTGCCTGGCCTATATAACGCTGGTGTATTTAGATCTTCTGTCCTACAGAATCTAAAGAGTGACCTGTTTTAAACCCCTGTCATTTGACTCCCTGTGAAGTTTACATGGTCCGTGGGCGTGTGTCAGGCTGAGATACTGTTATGAGGACCTACTTTTGAACAGCTACAAGACAGCAATATTAAGTTGATGCGTCTCCTTGTGGTCATGAATAAGGGTGAAATAAATCACCAAAAAATCAATTCAATGCAGTGCTGTGTCTTGGAAGTCAGAAAAACTAGACTGTGACTCCTGAACAGCATGTGCACGTGTGCGCATGTGTTATGTAATAACTCAATAAGCAAGAGAATTCTTGGTAGGCGTGTTTGCTGGAGACAGTACTTTACTGTCAGCATGTTCTCCTTTTTAAAACGAGACCCTCAGTGACCGATTCAGATCTTTTGGTGACAGTGCAGAATCTAAGGTCAAGTCCATTCAGTGCAATTTTTAATTTAAACTAATCTAAAATAAACTTATTGGTTTAATTTGGCCCATCCTTTAAAATTCAAAATGGACTCCTGTTTATTTTACAAGCATTCATTTGTAACGGGAAAGCTGCTGTAATCACTCTGATCACTCTGTTAAGGAGATGCCATTATATACTTTTATCAGATATGTAATATGTATGTTGACTGAATGTAGAATTTTTTCTGTTATTCAGCCTGCCACGGCAGTGGCTAAGTCCACTTCTTATTTACAGTCAAAGATTAAAGGGCAGTACATCATCTCAAGTCCACTTCAAGCAAAAACCTGTCTAACCTGTTTTGAATGGATCACATAAAGACAATGCGTTCCAGGTCAGAAAGGCCATTTTTGATTAAGCAAGGAAGAAATAAAAACAACTGAATGATTAAATGTTCTTGTTTTAATGTTTACATCAGGAAATTAATGTTTCTTTATTTTCACAACACAGTTAGGTGTGTTGTTTATCTTTGTCACATTTTTTTGGCACAATGCCATCAGGTCAGAGTGACCAGCCAACTTTCAGCTTCATCTTTAATCACTGATTGAGAAACAGTCAGCGTGAACAAGGTATGGCCTGCTGCTTACTCAACATTCATATTGAATTGTTTAACACATTGCTTGTGCTTTCACTCATTGGATTGATGGTTATTTCACTATATTCACCTGTGAAAGACGGTCAGTACTGCACATACAAAGTTTTAGATGTATCAGATGACATTAGGTAATGTATAGATGTATTTTGCATGCCATAACAGCCACCGTGTTTAAACCCAGCAGTCAGCAAGATAATCATACATCCGAGTTAGAAAAACAGCCAGCGTAATGACTTTGTGCATTCATCACTCTACATTTTTTTCCAAGCTAACGATCACCATCTCCAAGTATTCACTGTTCATGAACAAATATTAACATAGACCTTTACTGAGTTATCTGGGTGACTTTGCTGAGCATCACATTATCACAGTTACCCAACTTTGAAGGGGGAGGGGAGGGATCTCGGATGTAATCTAGAAAGCTCATCTGATCTTCAAGCATATTTGAAAGGTTTACAGAAAACCCTCGTGCCATACCTATGCTTTTGGAGGTAAACTACAGTAATATGTTCTACCGGGTAATGATACATAAAAAAGTACTTCCCTGTCCATAGGAATTTAAAACGTTTAAATAAAATGTTAATTATGTTGCACATCGGTTAATAGTGACGACTGTCTGTTTGCAAAATGAAATATTCAAATTTTCCCATCCATTAGCACAAATAAATTTCAGAGCCTACTCACACTACACACACTCAGCTTTACATAGTGGAGTTTCAGAAATGGCAACAGCCAAGCTTCACATAAAGATTTGCCACATTTGTAGATTTCAAGAGTTTCACAGAATCTCCATTCCATTCCATTCTCCTCCGCTTATCCGGGGTCGGGTCGCGGGGGCAGCAGCCGGAGCAGGGAAATCCAGACTTCCCTCTCCCCGGCCACTTCGGCCAGCTCCTCCGGGGGGATCCCGAGGCGTTCCCAGGCCAGCCGGGACACATAGTCCCTCCAGCGGGTCCTGGGTCTTCCTCTGGGCCTTCTCCCGGTGGGACGAGCCCGGAACACCTCCCCAGGGAGGCGACCAGGAGGCATCCTGAACAGATGCCCGAGCCACCTCAACTGGCTCCTCTCCACGTGGAGGAGCAGCGGCTCTACTCCGAGCCCCTCCCGGATGGCCGAGCTTCTCACCCTATCTCTAAGGGAGAGCCCAGCCACCCTGCGGAGGAAACTCATTTCGGCCGCTTGTATCCGCGATCTCGTTCTTTCGGTCACTACCCAAAGCTCGTGACCATAGACGAGGGTGGGAACGTAGATCGACCGATAAATTGAGAGCTTCGCCTTTAAGCTCAGCTCTCTCTTCATCACGACAGACCGGTACAGCGCCCGCATTACTGCAGACGCCGCACCGATCCGCCTATCGATCTCACGCTCCCTACCCCCATTCGCAAACAAGACCCCGAGATACTTGAACTCCTCCACTTGGGGAAGGACGTCCGCTCCGACCCGGAGAAGGCACTCTACCCTTTTCCGGTGAGAGACCATGGTCTCGGACTTGGAGGCACTGATCCTCATCCCAGCCGCTTCGCACTCGGCTGCAAACCGCTCCAGTGAGAGCTGTAGGTCCCGACTTGATGGAGCCAACAGGACCACATCATCTGCAAAAAGCAGAGATGCGACCCTAAGGCCACCAAGACTGACACCCTCAACACCTCGGCTGCGCCTAGAAATCCTGTCCATAAAAGTTATGAACAGGACCGGAGACATAGGGCAACCTTGGCGGAGTCCAACTCCCACCGGAAACGAGTCCGACTTACTACCGGCAATGCGAACCAGACTCTGGCTCCGGTCGTACAGGGACCTAACAGCCCGTAACAAGGGGCCAGGTACCCCATACTCCCGGAGCACCCCCCACAGGATACCCCGAGGGACACGGTCGAACGCCTTCTCCAAGTCCACAAAACACATGTGGACTGGTTGAGCGAACTCCCATGCACCCTCTAGGACCCCGCTGAGGGTATAGAGCTGGTCCAGCGTTCCACGGCCAGGACGAAAACCACCCTGCTCCTCCTCGATCCGAGGCTCGACTATCCGACGGACCCTCCTCTCCAGAACCGCTGAATAGACCTTCCCAGGGAGGCTTAAGAGTGTGATCCCCCTATAGTTGGAACACACCCTTCGGTCCCCCTTTTTAAATAGGGGGACCACCACCCCAGTCTGCCAATCCAGCGGGACTGCCCCTGATGTCCACGCGATGTTGCAGAGTCGCGTTAGCCAACGCAGCCCCACAACATCCAAAGCCTTAAGGAACTCCGGCCGGATCTCATCCACCCCCGGGGCCTTGCCACCGCGGAGCTTTTTGACTGCCTCGGTGACTTCAGCCCCGGAGATTAGAGATCCTAACTCCGGATCCAACAGGCTCTGCCCCTCCAACGGAGGACGCGCCAGTGGGATTGAGGAGGTCCTCGAAGTACTCCGCCCACCGACCCACAACGTCACGAGTTGAGGTCAACAGCACACCATCCCCACTGTAAACAGTGTTGGTGGGGCACTGCTTCCCCCCCCTGAGACGCCGGATGGTGGACCAGAATCGCCTCGAGGCCGTACGGAAGTCTTTTTCCATGGCCTCCCCAAACTCCTCCCACGCCCGGGTTTTTGCCTCGGCGACCACCCGAGCCGCACGTCGCTTGGACTGCCGGTACCCATCGGCTGCCTCCGGAGTCCCACAGGCCAAAAAGGCCCGATAGGACTCCTTCTTCAGCCTGACGGCATCCCTCACCGCCGGTGTCCACCAGCGGGTTCGAGGGTTGCCGCCACGACAGGCACCGACAGCCCTGCGACCGCAGCTCTGGGAGGCCGCGTCATTGATGGAGGCGCGGAACACGGCCCACTCGGACTCAATGTCCCCCGCCTCCCCCGGAACGTGTTCGAAGCTCTCCCGGAGGTGGGAGTTAAAGCTCCGCCTAACAGGGGACTCCGCCAGGCGCTCCCAGCAGACCCTCACAACACGTTTGGGCCTCCCGGGTCTCACCGGCATCCTCCCCCGCCATCGGAGCCAACTCACCACCAGGTAGTGGTCGGTGGAAAGCTCCGCCCCCCTCTTGACCCGAGTGTCCAAAACATGCGGCCGCAGATCAGCTGAAACGACAACAAAGTCGATCATTGAACTGCGGCCTAGAGTGTCCTGGTGCCAGGTGCACATATGGACACTCTTATGTTTGAACATGGTGTTCGTTATGGACAATCCGTGCCGAGCACAGAAGTCCAAAAACAGAACACCGCTCGGGTTCAAGCTGGGGGGGCCATTCCTCCCAACCACGCCCCTCCAGGTCCCACTGTCGTTGCCCACGTGAGCGTTGAAGTCCCCCAGCAAAACGAGGGAGTCCCCAGGGGGGGCACCCTCCAGTACCCCCTCTAAGGACTCCAAAAAGGGTGGGTACTCTGTGCTGCCGCTAGGCGCATAGGCACAAACGACAGTCAGGACCCGTCCCCCCACCCGAAGGCGAAGGGATGCTACCCTCTCGCTCACTGGGGTAAACCCCAACGTACAGGCACCGAGATGGGGGGCAATGAGTATGCCCACTCCTGCTCGGCGCCTCTCACCGGGGGCAACTCCAGAGTAGCAAAGCGTCCAACCCCTCTCAAGAAGGCTGGTTCCAGAGCCAGAGCTGTGTGTCGAGGCGAGACCGACGATGTCCAGCCGGAATCTCTCCGCCTCGCACACTAACTCAGGCTCCTTCCCCGCCAGAGAGGTGACGTTCCACGTCCCTAGAGCCAGCTTCTGCAGCCGGGGATCAGTCCGCCAAGATCCCCGACTCCGGCCGCCGCCCAGGGCACAGCGCACCCGACCCCTATGGCCCCTCCCACGGGTGGTGGGCCCGTGCGAAGGGGGACCCATGTCTCCTCTTCGGGCTGGGCCCGGCCGGGCCCCATGGGTGAAGGCCCGGCCACCAGGCGCTCGCCATGGTGCCCCACCCCTGGGCCTGGCTCCAGGGGGGGGCCCCGGTAGCCCGCGCCCGGGCGAGGGTACACGAAGTCCATTTTCCTTTTTCATCATAAGGGGTCTTCACAGAATCTTTAATAGTCAAATAAATTTAAGATTTTAACTTGCATTTTTACACTTATTTGAACAACTGTTTTTTTTACAGACTGTCTGAATGTTTTATAGCTGAGTAGGTTATGTTCCAGTAAGGGTATGACTAAAGCATGGTTCAAAATATGCTTGTGTTTTCTGAAGAGGAACAGAGACATCTAGTGAGTAACCAATGTCAAAGCACGGAAAACCCAGAAAAAGGGACCGTTTAGATTATACGTAATTAACATTCAGGTAGGCCATGTGAGGGGACACAATAACACTAGAAGTCCAACCTATATTACTTATTTTTCAAAGCTATATTTATTTACTTTTATCATTAAGATTCTAAATCTTTTGCTCTTTCCGTTGCCCAAGGTCAAAGGTCAGAGGTCTATTGCGGGTACAGAAGCATACAGCTAGATTTAGTCAGAACTGACTGGATTGTAAAGAAAGAATACATAGCTTGTGCTATTTTGATACTATTGAAATTAATCAAACTACATGTGGCACTGCCAGTAATTGAAAACAAAAACAAAATACTATTTTCTAAAGATAACCTGATAGATTTACCATTGTCATAGTAAAGGAATACTCAGTATAATGTTCACAAGCATGTGATTTAACTGACTTACACCTTTCTTGCTTTCATTGTCAAAACATTGACAGATAAATGTTTTGATGTGAGTTGATGTGGGTCATATTCCTGGTATGAATGGTTTAAAAGAGGACTTTAAAATTCACATATGACATATATTACATTTTCAAAAGAAATAAATGAATATGGGTTGACCTAGTTGGGAAGTGTTCCAAATTTTTACATAAAAAATGCAGCAATGTTGTGAAATATAACCTTTTATGAGAGTAAGCTTTTTTGACTTGGATGCTTCTGCTTCTCCTCTCCTCTCTGTATTTATGTTTATCACCTGCACAACGGTGGCAAATTTGGAGTCTACTTTTGCAGGATATTAAACCACAGACAACAATCTGAAATATTACTTCATGCCAAAAGTTACCACCCAGGCCATGCTGCAGTGCCGTCGCTGCGTAATTTGGCACAGACCAGAGAGGCTTTTGTTTGAAATACAAATCAGCCTGCAGGTGGCAGTGCAGGACTATGACTATCTGGTGAGTATGGACTAACTTCAGACTGCAAGGCATTGTAAGACTAAACTAAACTTAAAGCTAAAATGTATTGCTATTGTACACGAAAAGCCAGTGAAGGACATATTTTGTGTGTTATATTTTTGTAGCTGATTCTAATTTGGGAGAAAGCAGTTACTAAAGACTACTTTTTTGTTGTATTTCAGCTGCAAAATATAAAAGCTGTGAATTTCTGTGCTAAATAAGTTTTTTCCAATTATAGCTCCACCAATGCACTCATGCAAAGTGTATGAACTCAGTTTGAAATTGCTTGTGACTTGTTATTAGCAGACATTATTAACCACCAACACAACCCTGAACTCCAACAGAGTGACATTTCAGCTTGCCAACACACCAGCCTTGGGTTACATTATTAAAGGCGCACGGTATTATATGTACCTTTTATATTGGAACAACTTAAATTAAGTATCACTCAGGCCCGTGTGGACAAATCTGTTATTCCAATTTAATTAAAACCCCTCAGCTGAACTTAGTGTAGCCAATAATTAGAGCCATGGACACACACTCTCATGCACAAACACACTTGGATGTCACAGCTACTGTTGTGTAAGGCTGCTGACGCATGAAGGGGTGATAAAGTCCACTTCTCACAAATGTGGAGCATTGGTCAGTAGCTCAGGTCCCTCTCAATAACCTCTAGTAAATGTTTACCAGATCATCATTCCTCACATTCTTTTATTTGCTCGAAGACTATTAGATTTTAACAAAATGTTTTAATGTCCTCATGTTCTGCAGATACCAGTAGATATCCCCTTAATATTAACATGAGGTGGTTGTAAGCTGCTGTGAATTTTTGTAATCTGACAGGAATTTAATGTAAAGAGGCTTTTTTATACACAAAATCCCAAAACAATTTGTAACATGTAATAAAGTTAAATCTTTATTGCAAACCAAACATGGTCACATAAACAATTTTACAATTTACAGTACATTTAACATGACTTGTTACATATACATATTTAAGCATACCTCTAGTCATTTTCTTGTTCAATATACATTAAAACTAGTACACATAACTCCAAATATACAAACAAACTTAAATACCGTCAAACTGCATTACAGCAATATTAAAGTGGAATGTTCGGTTTCAATGTTATCGGCCTGTCCGCAGGCTGCCGTTACATCAGTGTGAGGCGAATGGAAGACTATATGAGGGGGATGTAGTTGGCAAGCAAAACTACAGAAATACTTCTCAACACATCCCTCTCATTCTCACCTAGCAGCAGTGCTCTTTCTGTCTCTCTATCAGCATAAATGTGCAAATGAGGATAGGAAACATCATTTGAGTCCCTACATCTCACGTTCAAAACTGAAGAAATACTAATCTAGTGCTACATCCTTCCACTCAGGTGACTTAAGGAAAAAACAAAAGAAGTTAAATATAAAACAAAACAATCTCATCCACTTGAAGACTAGTGGATTATATTGCAATGGTAATGTTGTCACAGACAAACCCAAATTATGTAAATTCTGATGGAGAGAAAAAATAAAGGCACATCTGAGGGAAATGTAATACCCCTCCCCCTCTGTAACATTCAGCTTCTACACACTCAGCTTTCAAAACACACAAAAAGTAAATGAGAAGAAACTAAAGCACCAAATGAATGTCATCTCCACGCTCCTCATTCAGACTCAACAGGCAGCTCCCCGTGGGTGGTGGAGGGAAGATGTTTCGCTACATGGATGAAAATAGAACTCTGTTCTGGGGTTTGACACAGTATGGTCCAGCCTTTCTCTTCTGACAGAAGGGGGAAGTTTTCGTCTGTGCTTGTCAGTTGTGGCTTCAGGATTGAGGGGGAGCTGTTAAGCTGCCTGAGCTATGTGCAAAAAACCTCCACTCTCAGGTAAGAAATGGGAAGTTGAAGACTTAAAGGGGATCTGTTTGGGATTAGTAAATCAAGGTAACATGAAGGATTACAATCCTAAATTGTCACTAACTACTGCAGACATCCTCTTGTAGCAAATATTTCAAATGCATTCAAGATTTGTGGAGTATATGGAAAGTACACATGTAGTTGAAGAACTCTTGCAGGGTTTTGGTTTGGAAATATCCATCATTCTGATGGGAAACGCTGGGAGGGGTCAAGATGCAAGTCCATGGACATGGCCCATTTTAGGTCCAGTAGGTCTGAACTGGTGTCCATTTCAAGTGCCTGTGTTCAAATCCTATAGGTAGGAGTCCATTGATGGGGCATAGGAGAAGCCCACAAAGGCCTCAGCTGCATCTTTGATGCTGGCTGTAAAGAGAGCACTGTCCGGGGAACAGCCGATGGAACTGGGCACAGGTTCATCTGTGAACTCAGGATCAAAGTGCCGCAGGTCGTTTGGGCCCGTCTGCAGGAAGGACAAAAGGAGAGAGGAAACAAATAGGGATTAGTCAAATTTACAGTACTTTGCCATAGTTGGAAATGCACAGTGTCATGCTTTTGTTTCATAAGCTCAAATTGGAAGTGTTGAATTTGACTCTTATAAATTGTGGTAGTGGTATCAGTATTATTAGAATATTTACCACGTTGGGGTTGAAGGGAGGGGTGATCTTCTTGGCGTTTAGCTCATCCCAGTTGATTGGGGAGAAGAACATGTGGTTCTTGATTTCAATCTGGAAAAGGAACAATTGACAAGCAATTAAAAGTTGGCCACTTGCATGAGTGGATAGGCAGTCTCAGATAACTGCTTAAATACTTACAAAGTCGTCTGTGCAGCCCAGCCTCTTGGTGCGGTCCTTTTGGAGGAGGCCTTCCAGCAGGTGTCTGGCTGAATTGGAAATGTTGGGCTTCAGCTGCAGAGGCTTGTTCAGAATATTGTCGTACATCTCTGCCGTGTTTCGGCTGTAGAAGGGAGGCTGTTGACGGAAAACGCAGAATGATTAACAATTTAGAAAAAACCTCAATCTGAATAAACAAAGCAAATACCTATTATCATTCATACTCTCGGGGTATCAAAAGGTTATAAACTTAAAAATACCACAGAGATTGAGGTCTGAATTCGCGATAAACAAGACATTACATACCAGGCCGTACAGCATCTCATAGAGAACAGCTCCTAAACACCACCAGTCAACGGTCCTGTCATATGGCTGCTTATGTAGCACCTCAGGAGCCAAATACTGCAGGGGAAGAAATAAGTCAGAATCCACAGACTGCCACTAATAAGCAAAATGAGGCGGCTCTAAATAGATGAATACTCTCTCCTTACCTCTGGTGTACCGCAGAAAGTGGACGTTGTCCCATTAGGTTCAATATTCTCCTTGCAGAGCCCAAAATCTGTGAGAATGATGTGTCCCTGTGAGTCCAGCAGGATGTTCTCTGGCTTCAGGTCTCTGTACACAATGTTGAGGGAGTGTAGGTATCCCAGGGCACTGGCGATCTCTGCAGCATAGAACCTGGCTCTGGGCTCCAGGAAGCAGCGCTCCCTTTGCAGGTGGTAGAACAGCTGCAAGAAAGACGAACACACAAAAGGTGGAAAAAAAGTCAATTAAAGATGCTTCTGAGTGATAAGAATAAATGACATTATCAGCTGTCTCCTGGCCTGACATTACAGTGTGAAAAGGATAAGAGCGAAGGGAGGAAATGAGTCGGCCAGTCATAAAAATGCAGATACAGTGAAAGCAAGAACAGAACGGATGAAAGGAAATGAAAAGGCAGGAAGGCGACCGTTTAAAAAGTTTGACAGGGGAAGATGGATGAAATGAGGGCCAAAGGTGGAAAGAGAGACCAGCAGGATGGAGGGGAAGAAAGGTGAAAGAAAAGAAAAAGAGTAAATGTGCCCTGCTTCCTGATGAGGTCCATATTTAATCAGCACTGTCTTTGCTCATGCAACAATCACAGGAAATTAGCCTGATTAGACGCACACACACGCGCACACACACACTCTCAATAGCGCTGCTAATTTTGGCCCAGAGTTTCTCCCCTCGTCCCAGCCCACCCCATGATTTCCTGATCAGTGTTTCCTCCAATGTCAAAAGAGGAGAAAAAAAAAAGACAGAGAGGAACAACTTCTATTCTGCTTCTCATGACAGGATTTCCCCTCTGTCTGTCTGCCTCATCCTTGTGTCTACTCCTGGCATCACATAATTCCTTTCAAACTTCAGCAGTTTTGACCCTCTCTTCTCCCTCCAACGTTAAGATTTCCTTAAATTCCTTGTATTCATATTTAGCTGTTTCTTTATATAGCCTGCCACCTCCCCCTCCCTTTTATCATCATTTTCCACTCTGTTATCCACTTTCTCGTCAGGCATCACCTTCGGCAGATAACTCACCTCTCCTCCATTGATATAGTCCAGGACGAAGTAAAGTTTGTCTGCTGTTTGGAAAGAGTAGTGAAGGCCCACTAAGAATGGGTGCTTGACATTCTTCAGGAGCACATTCCTCTCTGACATGATGTGTTTCTCCTAAAGAACAAAACAAAGCAAAGAGCAGAGGTTAGACAGGTTTACAAGAACACATCTCGTGACATGTTTGAGTTTCTGGCTGCGGGCATGTCACTGTGAACGCATACCTCCTTTTTCTTGAGAATTGCTTTTTTCTGTAATACTTTAACAGCGTAAAATTGGTCATCTGTGCGATGCCGGGCGAGCAACACTTTCCCAAAGCTGCCCTTGCCTATCACTTTGAGGAAATGAAAATCGCCAGGTTTGGCTGAGGGATTGGACGATGGTCCAAGGTTGATCTGTTGGGATGGACTGGGCTATGAAAGAGAACAAATGAAAATTACTTAGGAAACTGGAACAGTATCTGCACATCTGCAATATCTGCACACCCACTAATTCCAACGGTTAATGCAAGCATACGTACCGGAGGAGAAGGGTTTGTGTTCATGAGCTCAGCATCCTGTGGAGGACTCAAGTTCAGGATTGACTGGACTTCAGGACTGAGAAGAAAAAGAAGAGGAGTTTAAGCTTATTTCAGGGTCATGCAAAGAAAAGTACCCTTCCAATATGAATCAGGTCATCTGCAAGTTAAAATATGTTGGCCAAGAGGACTAACTGCCATTTTCTGCTTGTGCTTCTCAAATGTTTTCCTCCAGGGAAAAAAGAACAATAACATGAGTCAGATGCTACTCACTGCTTGCAGGCGTAGGAGTTTGTGGCAAGCCTCTGAATGAAGTCGTTCAGCCCCATCCTCCTCTGTTTCATAAAAGCTGCAGAGCACATCAAAAACAAACAACAAAATATGTAAGAAGGACATTTAAGATACTTGAACTAAAAGAACAGGACTGGATGAATACAAGAAAAAGAAAGAAAAAAGGAAAAATTCAAGTTAGAGTCCATACCAGTAACTAATGCCACCAATCCTCTGGTTTTTGAGTAAGTCAGGACAGGCTTTTCTGTTTCTGTTTTGATCGTCATTATTCCTTCCAATTCTGTCACCCACTTGGCAACAGTCAATATCCAAAACTAACTACTTTCTCTGGGCTTCTGACTTATATTAGCTGTAAAAGAGGGAGGGGCTGACCCCAGGAACCCACACCTCCCGGTGGGCGTGATCCTCTACAAACATGTAGCTTCAGTAACTAAACCCTGGGAAGGTGATTTTCTCCACCAATCAGCGACCGCTGCGCTCCCAGTGCGTCATAGCTGCGCCTTGTGTGTGCTTACGTAAAGAAAGGGTATTCACCAGTGGGTTTTTATTTGTCCATATGTCTGTGCAATTCCATGGACAATTTACTAAACACAGCATTTGTCAGTGACGTGCTTTCGTCACATTATCAGTGTACACAAAGCTCCTGCCGGCGGCTGTTTCTATCAACCAACGCTGTTACGTCAAATTCCAAATGTGTAGTGGAAATGTTACAGCACGCCAGAGTGTGTTCCTCAAGAAAGGTCAACACTTTTTCTTGAGATTACTTTTAAGATGATTCTTTAATCCTGGTTAATGTTATCCCGCGGCCTGGACAGCTCGGCCTCCAACTCTCCAGAGGTCGCATCCAAGTCCAGTACAAATAATTTGATAGCCTCTCCTCACTAAGCCTATCAACTTCACTGCCTGGCTGCCTCTCAATTCAAAGTGCCGGGGAGTGACGCATGCCCCCCTCAGCACACAAAAGACGGGAGGGAGAGCCCGACCGGAGGGAGGCCCCATGCCAAGAAAAGCCGCTGGTAGTGGAAAAGTACAGAGTGAGAAACTCCCGAATGCATCCAGCACGGGAGGAAGAGAAAATATTTAATGCACAATCTATACAAATTAGCACAGGGGAAGCGATCAGGAGGCTCCTGGTGATGATAAGAATGTCAGTGTGTAGAAAAACGCGACTTGAGCGCTGGTACGCCGCGGTGCGGAGGGACTGAATCTGGCACAGTTATGTAAGGCACCTGGTTCAAATTTGATCTGCCCCCAAAAGTGCCATGAGAGAAAGTAAGACGATATCACCTGTGAGGGTCCAAATTCCTTTAATTGTTTTGTAGACTACCGGAGAAATTTGCTTTTTTTTTTTCTCCACAGAGGCACAAAACAGGAGAACGCACAAAAATGTCATTATGGAGAACGGCAATTCTCTAACTAAACACCAAAGACTATCAACTCAAAGCAAACTTTTTCACCCGTTGGTTTTATTTTATTTTTTTTTGCAAAACCTGCAGCTCTATGGCTGCACAAGCTGCTGCAGAGTTTCTAGAACTTCTACTCTGTCAGCGAGGAACTTCCAGAGATAACAGCTCTCAGGCTCAGCTTTATGGGCTGAATGAGACGCGCACTACAAGTTTTAAGTCTGCCTTTGCTGTAACTAATGGATTCAGAAGAAATTTGTTTATGTTTTTTGTTTTTGTTTTTTCTCAGAATAAACTAATAAAACTATATCAAAATGCTAGACAAACACAGATACACTTTATCGACCAACAGTATGTAAAAAAAAAAGGATGTTCTTGTTCTATCCTCAGACGCGTGTGTTTAGTCATCATATGTCTTACTTACAGGTCAGAGCGGTCGTTTTGTCTTTCATAAGGATGCTTTAAATCCCCGGATCACAACAAGCAAGGAGGCTGCGGGCTTCTCGGTCGGAAGGTGATCGTACTGCTCCGCATTCGCCTTCTTGGAGACGTTGTTCCAATAACCTCTTTTTTTTATTTTTTATTACAGGGCGGAGACATCCCGCCTCTCTTTCCTTCCACCCCAGTTTTGTGTTTCGCGGATGGTTGCATGACTTTTTCCATGGGCGGGGTGAAGGCTGCCTCTGAACACTTCCCCAAGCTCAGCTATTGAATTCGGCCATCGAAAACACACTCACAATTTGCTTAACCGGAATATTAGCGAGAAGAGGTGATGCAGTGACGAATTAAAACCGTGATAATGCCTGGGTAGTTATTTCTGCGCATTTACCCTGCAATTGGCATGGATTTAGAGTTCTGGGAAAAACAAAAACGACAATGAAACACCAGAAAAAGAAGTCAACAAGGCTTTAAAAGTCAGATACCGCTCATGTCCTGTAAATGTGTAATAACACATTGTGAATACGTATCCCAGCAACGTATGGGATATGTATTCATACATATCCCCATCCCTTTATTCAACTTTAAACTAAACATTATCTGCAATGATTAATGGCAAACACCATGCATACAGTGATCACTTTAAAGTAATTATGTAAATTCATCATCAAAATCAAACAAAACAAACCCATCATGTTTTACTACATGCAATTTTTCCACTGTGTCCAGGTGAGGTCTTTCACACACAATTCGGAATTTGGAAATTCACAAGGTTCAACTGTCAAGAAGTGTTAATGTAATCATTAACCCTGCCTCTTGATCAATTGTTGGGACACAGTTTTAAGAGCACAAATCCAGTGTTGTTTTTCTGTCAAATAATGAATGAATAAGAACAAACAGTCTTGAAAATTGGTTTGCAGTCTGATCCTTTTTAACCGTTTTGTGATGCAATCAAGAGCCATAATATTCTTATCTAAATGTTCCAAAGTAAGATACTGTATGAAAAAAGCCAGATTTTACACAGAATTATAATGTTGAAGAGAAAAATGTATTTTTAAAATAATCGAATAAACACAACCTTAAATAAAAACCACCACACCATTTTAATTAGTGTCAATATTAATGCAAAATCCATTTTAAAAAAATGTGTAAAAATTAACTCAAACCTTATTATGTCCACAGAGATATAACACCAGGTGCTGCTAGTGAAACACACCCTATTCACAGATCATCCACAGATGTTAGTACCTCTACAGAAAAACAGAATGTAAGTATGTAGCATTCAGGTGTGTGTTGATAACAAGAAGGCAAATCATCAGCAAATATCTTGGAGCAGAAATTCTTGTTTCTGTAAATCTGAGAGAGGCCATGACTCATTCCCCAAACCATTAACAGTCCATCCTTTGTCAGTGAGAGAGACTATACACAAGAGGACAACTTTCAGTTGCCAATCTTGGCAGAGCTGAATGTACGAGCATGTTTGTCCATATGTCAGGTTGTGCAATGAAAAATCAGAAAAAATGCTCCATTCCAGTTGTTATAACTTAGACTCTATAGAGATTGGTTAGCCTAGTAAATGTCAGAGATAATGACCAAACAATGACCAAACAATTAGTCAAATGTTTGACTTTTTTTTTGAAGGCTCTTCTTCTAAAAGTGATCACCTCATTCCAACTTCCAAGCACGATGGTGGAGGTATGATGGTTTGGACCTGTTTTCCAGCCACGGGATCTGGATACCTTTCAGTCACAGAGTCTACCAGGAACTCTTCTCTGCCTAAAAGCTTTTAGATTCTAATGCAAGACACAGATCCCCCAAAAATCTACTAAAGAATGAGAGAAAGAGTCACAGAACTGGCATGGCCCACATGGCACCCGTGTCATCAAGTCATAAGTAGCTAACAAGGTTGTCATTTAAGCTTTGGAACAGTGGCTTGTGCTCAGTTTTAACACCAAACATCAGCAATTTGCTGAATAAATGGTCACATGGTATAATATGAACGTGAGGTTTCATTCTGATTCATCCTGCAAGTCCTAGAAAGCAACCTGCAAGCTTTTAGCCTTGAATCCAAAAGTGTAAAAACATGTCCCTGGCCCCCTTCTACAAAATGTGTAATGTTTTTAGACAGAGGATCAACAATTTGGGCTCAACTACAGGTTACATAGGGTCATGAAGACGAACATGCACGTATGACTCTGCAGTTTTACAACACACCCTGAACGTTTTACTGCTCTGTCTCCATCTCTCCGATGGCTCAGGTCAAATCTATTATTAATCTGTCCACTGCAGCCAGCTGATGCACTCACACATCCACCGTGCCAGGGGACAAAACAAACCCGCGGGGGAGTGTGAGCACACACGAACAGGTACACACACCAGCTGGAGAGCAAAGGAGACACCTGCAAAAAACACACAGACGCCTCCTGAACAGCGAAGGCCAATCTTCCCTAATCGTTTCTCGGTCTCTTGCCCCTTCCACTGTGCAGCACCAGGAACCTGATCTGCTGGTCCTCAGAAAAAAGAAATTTCTCCCCGAGACAGCTCAGGTGGCAGCAGTGTCATCCTTCAACAGGCATTTTATCTTTGATTTCCCGCCTCTAACACCAGAGTGGCAGCACGCGTGGGCCACAGACTGACAGGTCTCATTAGCACCGGGAGACTGCACGTGCCAAGCAAGTAGAATCTGCGCATCAAAAGATCCTCCTTTCTCAAAATAGAACAATATCAGCACGTGGAAATCATAACGAGGCACTGAGAAAATCTCCTTTTTTTTTTTTGCAAAGTCATCTAGGAGAAGTTTAAGAACAGCTGCAAAGGACTACATTACCTCTGTCAGAGTGTACGCTTTGCTCTCAGGTCTGCGTCTGATGGTTATGTGGCCAAGAACGGAATAAAATGAGAAGGAGGTACTGAAAGCAGATCAGAAGAGAAGGGCCAGTTCTGACAAAAGGTCCTCTCAGTGTTTTTCCGATCTGGCCCGCTTTCACCACATTGGACACACAATCTGCTCAATGCTCAGGCCCCGAACAAGAGGAGGCTCACAAACCCAACGCTCAAGCTGTGTGGTTGTTGCCTCCATTTGTGTGTGAGGCACTAGTGCGTTATGCAACCCACTAGTGGCACTGTGATCAATGCCAGCGAAGCCACTGACTCACACACACATTCTCTGTGGGCCATTTGGTGAAGGGACCGGATGGTTCACTTCAGCACAGCGTATTAGAGATGTAAAACAAACACACGTAAATCCTACCCGCTCACAGTGGACTAACACATACACAAAGACCAGCATGTTCCCATATTCACGCCGTCTCCGGCAGACGACACTTATCCATCAGATCTGCTCATCTCTGCCACCTTCCCATCATGCCGTGCTGTAATCTTCCTTTCTTTGTTTTGAGGATGATGAGGATGTTTGCGGGTACAGTTGATCGGGCGTTGAATGCGAATGAGCTTTGGTGGTGAGGAACCAAATGACACTGTTACATAAAAGGCTCACTCATTCAAAGGAGGACAGCTAGGCTTTTATTTAGTCACTGGACACGGTGGTTGTGTCTTTTGCATCAATGTGTGTTTGTGGCTTTCTGGGTCACCAAAAATGGGGTCGACTTATCATTTCAGCTTCTTCTGTAGACAGACATGTGACCATCACTTCTGCACGCTATTGCCCTCCGTCTTAAGTATTTTATAATCTTTTGGTATGGTTGCTGCATGGAGACTCTTGCTGGTTTGTCTGCGTATGACTGTTCAGAGCTGTTTTCACCTCACAGTAAGTTGAAAAGAACTGACACATTCACTGGAATGAAAAAGGGAACAGATGATGTAATCTGGTGCTTTAAGAAAGAAAATGGAAATCCTTAGAAATGAGGACCTTTCCAATGAATTAATTAAAAAGTATTTCTCCTTTCTTGAGTGAATACATGACATTTGAAATATGTTAGAATGAACAAATGAGTGCTGACCTTTGTTTTTGTTCAGCGGTCTGATTGGGCTGAGTAGACACACCTAAACCTGTCAACACTTTTGCTGTAACCAACAGGTTCAGACACAAAAACTCAAAACTGGTGAATGTCTTCAGCTTTGAGGGCGTCTTTATGGATTTATAAAATATATGTTTGCATTGTTTCAATGAGTAAGTGTGTAGGTGTGCCTGTGATAGTAAGCTCTGAGAAGCAGGTTGACACAGATGAATAATGCGTCATAACCTGTGGGAGAAAACGTTGAATAATAGCTTAAAAACTGTTACTATCATTTAGCATTACTGCGAAGTATAAGAACACACACACACACACACACACACACAGGCTGGGTAATTACATTTTATATAACAGAGTCTGATGAAGATACGTGTGCGAATGCTGATTCACTGCTCTGCGGCAGGTTGATGACCATTCTGATGTGATTAATTAGGGTTTCTTTTAGCAGATATGCTTTGTTTCATAAGCTGTGCTTTTCTGTGAACCGAACGAACACAGACTCGGTTTGCTCCGTGAAATTACAAGGTCGAGACTTTTTCTCTACATAATTATTGTAGGAGGATCTCTCCTCTTTTCCGTTTCTTTTGCTCCCTACCCTTTTCCTCAGTTACACGCATCGCTGCTTCACTGTAAACTAATCATATAGGTGACACTTTTTAGCTGCTTAGCGGTTCTAAAGGCACTAATTGCTGAACCAGAATTGACACCGTGTAGCAGAGTGACAGTAGAGGCCAGAGGAACGGCCTGTCACCATCTCAGCTAATTGCTGGGATTTTTCTCAACATGCTGAGATCTCCCTTTTTCTTACAGGCGGAGGACTGCCAGAGAGAAGCGTTTGCATTAGAATGCAGTTCTTGACACAATTACTTTTTGGAAATGTTCCAGCAGGTATCTGCAGAACTCCTCACAAAGTTCCTGACGTAGGGGGCATTCACTTAAGATGTGTCCTTCTACTCAAAAACACAAATATTGGCATGGGACAAAAATTAGCAGATGGTTTGGTATCTAATAGCTTCCACATGGAAAAGCACGGATATGCAGTTCATGATCAAATACTAAATCATAATTTCACCTGTGATTAGGATTGCAAGTAAAAAGTACTAAAATTGGATTAGAGTGTGAAGTAAAGACACGTTGTGGTGTTTTCACACACATTAATGTGCACGCTCACAAAAATATCCCTGAATTGCTGGCAATAGTGTCCACAGTAATGAAAAGGAAAGGACATTTCCACTGTGATAAAACGTGACAAACATGCAATCCATGTCCTCCTGACTGGACTCTGGATTTGGCACAATTATAGCGTGTGATGGAAAAAATTAAGTTCAAGAAATTGCAGTCATCTGGGCAATAAACAAAGATGGACTCTCACCTCGTTGCACAACTAGGGACAAGACGCAATTCCACGATGTTGTAAACAGAAAAGGTCACTGTGTCATCTGTGCAATGATCTGTCCTGAGTATGGTGTCAGTAACTACTATTTTGCCACATTCCTCTAAACAAACAGTAATCTTTGGTTTTGGACAACAGTAATTATCCTGAGAGCTTAGAGGCTGGATCAGGTTTTCAAATGATGAGGTAATGTAAAGTCATCAGGTTCAGGTGAAAAAGCATCAACAAACAACAGTCGAACAATGAACTGTAAGAGACAAAGAAAAAAAGCTGAACCCCTATCATAAACGGTAAAATCACACAAAAATAATATGGAGGCAGAAAGGAAAATAATAGTAGTTTAAGATGTAAAAAGTGTTAGAGCAGATGGAATGAAAGAGGCAGGAGGAAGGGGAACAATACCCAACAACAGGCTCAGTTGTTTGTTACTTACCACTGTCACCAGGGCAACAGTAGCTGTCCGGCTCTGACTCATTGTGGTAGTAGAGGTCCATTGCCTGGAGGGAGAAATGTAGCATCTCTTAGAAAAAACACTCAAAATAGTATATTGAGCAGAAATCAAATAAGCTCAAATTTGCAGTCAGTTGTGGACACATCTCTTCCCTTTGAATCACATCCACATCTTTTTATCTAATTTTAATGCATGTCTTGCAGACTGTTTCCCTGGCCGTGGGCACCTGCAAAATCTCCACCTAATTACAACAATAACAGTATCATTGAATAACTAACAATAATTGATCAAATCTGAAAAAAACAAAACAAAAGGGAAAAGGTCATATTGAATAATACTTGGATTAGTTTAAAGGAATAAGCCCCTTTACTTTATATAAAAAAACATATATCAAACGATGTTCGAACATAATTGGAGACACAGTATACAATACAAAAAATGAGGTTAAAAGTCATAATTTGAGAGCGGCACCTTGATACTTTATTATAACCTGAACCTTATTAGAGAAGCCATCTTAGTTTTCTAGGCTTTTTGAATGACATCCCAAGCTCTTCTTCGGATGGTGGCAGCCTCTTATTTATTGCCTGTCAAGATGATCCCACACTACTTCAGTACTGTTGGTCTCAGCTCTGGGGATGATTCATTACTCCATAAAACCTGTTGCCACTGATTTCCAGTGCAGTCCTTGTATCATTTGGCATAGCCTGGTCTCGCTTTTTCCCTTTCTGAAGAGGGGCTTCTTAAAAGCCACCATTCCATGGAGACTCTTTCTAATGAGGCCTCAGTTAATATGCAGACCCCCCCCCCCCCCCATTTTTTTTTTTAACCTTTAAATCATGTTCGACTGCAATTACTTCATTTTTTAGATCTATCACCTCTTCTTTTATACAATCGTGTTCAGTTTCCAAAGATTTTTAAATCAAGCACAATTAATCTCAAATAGATTTTGCCGGATGTGTTTTTCTTTGTGGATTCAGTTGAATGAATAATAAATAGATGGTGTGTAAAGAGATAGAACACAATTACAAATAACCTATAGATACAATGTGGTCAGTGTGAAGTAGGTTAAAGAACTTGGAAAATATTGCCCTTGCCTATAAGGACTGGACTGAAGAAGTGAAAAAGAAAAAAACGTTCAAAGAAAAACAGAGTACTTGAGAACACAACAAAAGATAACAAGGAAGTCTGGCTCCTTGAAAGTAAAATACAAAGAAATGAGGACTGTCTGAAGAGTGTTCTGTTCTCAACAGCAGTAGCCCTTGACTGCATGTTTGACAGAGTTTCAAGTTACTAGATCAAAACAATTAAAATTCTTGCTGTTGAACACAAGATCATTCTGATTGTCATTGTATAATTGTATCTTTTGCAATCGTGCTGTCTTTTTAAGTGTTACAATGTGTACTTAATGACAAAATTGATTCCACCACTGCCTGAGAATTTAAAAAAGTCAAAGACAAGTTGGTGGACTCGTAAACAATCCAAATGCACGCGCAAACACAATCTATTGTTTTGCAATAAGAAGTATTGAATTTGAGTTAGTGAGAAAAATAACTTGTTTGTTTGGTCATTTACAACTGAGTTAAATTAGTTTTTTAGTGTGAGCTGATCTTTGGCTCGCTGCATTTGATTAAAAACAGTCAATCCACTGCTCAATGTGACCCAGGCAGATTGGGTCCAGAATACAGATGTTAACAGAGGTCCAAACCGCTTGTCCCTCTTTCTGATTTCACATAAGATGATGGGCAGCTGGGGCACGAGAAAAAGAAAGTCATATTCCCATGCAACCTTGCTGTCATGTCAGGTATTAGTTTTCCACAATGCTGCTGTCAGTCATCAGCTTCTCAAAGTGGCGGGCATCTACTTTGCCATTCCTTTCTTCAGCTCTGAAAACTTATTGCAGTTTTCTGTCGTTTTCTATGGGTGATTTATTATTAGAATGAGGCGGACTGAGGGGTGTGTATTTGTGTGTGTGTTCATTTGAGTTGTTTCAGTTCCGTTGTTATAACTACTCCTTCAAAGCTTTCAACAGTTTACCTCTTGTGAGAGTAGTTTTATCTCCATCTGAGTATTATTACTCACAGTAACTTTGATACACTCATATACATACATCCGCATGTACACTTCTATGCACTCCCTGATGCTGTCACCATCTCTCCGTTTTTACTTTACCATCCATAGGCCTTTTTCTTTCTTTTTGAATTAGCTTCATTTGTGAGTGCCTTCCTGCTTTGCCTCTCCACTTTCTCTAAGCTCTCTGGACACTGTTTATTGATTCAGGAGAGGTCTGATGGAGTGGTATCCATAGAGATGGTGAGTCTGGAGTTTCTGTTCATTAATGTTTCATAGCAGATTTATTATTCCAAAAGAAGATTTGAAATTGTGTGTGTGTCTGTGCTTGTGCTTGGATCAAGAAAAGACCGACTTCAGAAAAAAAAATCTTTAGAAAATAAACTCAGTAAATCACAGTCTGAAGTGAAGGTAGTTTTTTTTAAAAGAGTGAGATATGCTATGACATGATTATGCGTTTCCAGTGTTAAAACGTTGTTGCACTGCTGTTCAGAAGTTCATCAATACAATTACAAAACAACTACATGTTCTATTTAATCTTTTATGATATATATTCAAGTTCTAAATTTGGCCGAATATATTCATACAATTTAGCTTTGTCAAGTAAAAAAGACTATTTGTATTACATTTAATCACTAAAGGAGACAGAGACCATATTTTGATTAATACAATTAATCCAAATTCACAAACATATCTTAAAAGAGAAAAAAAATATGTTTTTAAAGATTTTTAAACTATGAATAGGAAGGCTGGTCATTTCATTTTTAGGTAATTTGATTCCTAGAAAGGATAATTTATACTGACAAAGTTTGTCATTTAGTAAAGTAAGTCATTCATAGTTTAAGTTGACGTCAACGTGACGTCAACATACATCCCACTTGCCTGTGTTCGTTGACGGGGTTGCCATGTGTCTTCTAAAGTGTAGCTGATGTAGGGCCCACTGCAGATGGAGCACTCCAGCATTACTGGGCTGGCCATGAGAGGAGAGGCGTGGAGCCCCCAGCACTGACAACCTCCCAGATGAACATCTGACTCTTCTTCCTTCTGTTTGCCTGTGTTGTCTCCATGATGGCGAGTCAGCATCTTCCACTTTCTGACCTGGAAAATAAGATGACTTATATTTCATGTTTGCTCAGTGAAGCATGAAAATGAGGTGTCTTGGCACGTGGAATTAACTTGTCAGCCCATGTTGACACCATAATACAAAACAGAGAGCACTCCTCATTTTCTCAGGCTGTGTGCAGACTTTCTACTTAAAGAGCTGGTGCTAAGAAACCTCTCCAAATTTGTAGTGTCTGTCTGCTTTGGAGGCAGACAGACACTACAGCAGCCAATCTGCCAAAACAGAGAAACAGAAAGGGTTTCTTACCTGCAGACCATCCAGATATTTAACACACAAGTCACTCTAAACTAGGTAGATAAAAATGGGAAATGTTCAACTCTTTCGTTTTAAATAGGCAATTCCATATTATTTGTAAGCAAGTATTTAAAAGCTTATTTTGTGAAGAAAATTTCAGATGGTCAGGTTAGTTTTGTGCAAAGAGTGAGTCATTCTCAGGCTGAACAGACATCTCCTCCCATGTGACAGTCGCAGTGACACACTCTTAACACAGACCTTCTTATCTCAATCATCATGCATCTGGCACTGACAAATTGATCAAAAATGACACGCATTCTTTCTGCACACACACACACACACAGGACTGAAGGACTGAGGGTATGAGAGGTAAATCACACGCTATGGGACAGGAGATACTTTCTGGACTGGGATGCCCTTGTCCTGCACACAGGCTCTGAGGCTGCAGGATGGTCACTGCGTGTGGACGGCTAACGTTATGACCGGAACTGCTGCTCTGTGTAGGAATGACTGAGGAGGTCAACCTGTCATTACACTGTCTTTTGTTCAATCCGGCTCAGAATGATTTTACAACACATGACACAAATCCCTGCTGCCACTGTATAATTTAACATTAATTTATGTATGATGTGCACGGAAAAATAGCCTTCACTGGCACTTATCTCTAAAGATTAATACATGATAACTGAAAATCTGTGGTAGGGGCTCAAGATTTTCCTACTGGAAGTTTGAGATGCTGTCAAGATGTTCCCATGTGTTTGTGAATACAGAATGAAAACGTTTCCATTCAAATATCATTTGCATGGACCATTAAAAAGCGTACTGTATCATTAAATGTCTTCAATGTATGGTGTTACTATGAGCCTTGTTTCAAGGATTGTTTGTAGCATTCCGAAAGGGGCTCAAAAAAAGAAAAACACACGCACATGAATGGATGCCCACTTCACACGCCCCCTTCCTTTTAACCCTCGTCTTTGCCCTTTAACCTTGTTTTGTGTTATGACCTGTGAAGACAACGGTGATTATGTTGCATAATGCCTTGTTGGCAGTAACTGTTCTTTAACCCTATTAACTAAGGATGTAATATATTCTAAGGAAATTGGCACACTAATGCCAGGATGTACGCAGCTCCATAAATCAAGGAAAGAAAACATAATTTCATTAACACTTCATCCAAACTCCTTCCTCAGCTTTCTCCTTATTGGCCTCATTTGACCTTTGTCTATATTTGCACAAGTTATGTAAAATCTTCACCTAAAGGCCTTGCATTTATGATACAGGGCCATGAGTCACTTTTGTAGGGCAACACTCAACATACTGCCACTGATTTGTTCATGTTCCACTCCACACAGCTTTTGCCTTGGACATTCATACAAAATACAGTGAGTGACAACATTGTAATTTATGGTGTCATCAGTCAGTCCATGACCCTTTTTCCTGGTAACCCCACACCAGCCTTGTATTATTCATACATTTATGTTCCCCAGCATGTCAGTCCTCCACAGACAGGCATGCAAGCAAAAGTCTGAAGACAAAGAAAATATTTAAAAGATAAAAAAGACCAACACTACATGTGAAGGAGCCTTAAATGAGCTATTACTTTCTCAGTCAAGAAATAAGACTTCCACAATATTGCCAAGGTCACTGTTCCTTTTCATTTTTGTTCACCCTTTTGTTTCTGGATTACTGAAGAAGGGTTGAGGAAATAATAGATCCAAAAAGAAAAGTGCTATGATTCAAAAAGTTAAAGCTGAATCCAAGAGCCTGTATCAAATGCACAGATAGAAAAGACAATAGCTGATCCTCCGGGAGATTAAATCCTGATACAAAAATATAGTAGAAACAAACTGTAATGCGACAGATGAACAGAAAAAAGAGTACGTTTGAGATTTGAAGATATGTTGACCCTAAGCTGATTTAGAGCTCACATCCATTTTCATCCAACATGGTTTTACTAATTCTCTGATATTCAAATGTCGGGTTGTGCCCAAACGCAGTCCGTGAACCCCGACCTCATCACAGAAAGATTCATATTCATGAACATTCACTGTAACACACGTTCTTTTGGAAACTAAAAAAGCAGCCGTGCCCCTGACTTTTACCACAGCTTGTCTATTACAGTCCTTCTCATATTTCTTTACCAATAAACAGCAACATTTTATTCTCCTTCATTTATGTCTTTCATTAAGTCCCACTGAGATAATCAGAAACAAAATCATAACTAAACATTTAAACATCTTGCTAAAACTCAGGAGGAAAGTAACAACTATGAATATTGGACTGAATTGGCGGACATAAATTAACCATGCAAGGCCTATCTTCTCATAGATAATTAAAGCTGACAGTGAAGAAACACCATCCTAATCTGAGAAAAGGAGCTCGATGCCAATTTTCTCTCACATTACAGACAATGTGAGAGCAATGTACAAGACAGGACATCTATTTACCAGTTCCGTTCCAAAAGCATATATAAGCAGGACTAAAAGTATTCCATTATTATCAGCCTATGAGTCTGCACTTAGGAATGGTAACTCTCTGACCTAAATGCTCATGTCAGCATACTAGCTGTGATTCAGCATGGGAACTGCTCAAAATTAAAGCAGTTGTCAAGTCAACCAAAACCACAAATGTCCTCCTCACGGTGGGTGTGAAGAGAAAACGAGAAGATGATCAAGTAACAAATTAGTTTCTCAGCAAGCTGATGAGCTCATAGCTCTTAAGATTTAGCGGCTTTAAACTTTAATTATGCCTTTAAGCTAATGTACACTGAAAGTTGGACAAGCTGTTCAAGTATATCAGAATGAAATCACAGCTTTAACAATGAACATCCACAGTAGTTTATGAAGGCAGATTAGGTCGGTTTGAAGCTCATTTGTTGAGCGCGCGCCTTCAACTCAAAGTCCAAACATCAGTACCATCAGAGATGAGTATGAAAGTGAAAGAAGCGAAAGTTGTGCAGCTCAGTCAAAGCGCCTCTGAGCAGCTGTTTTGGCTGCACAAGATGGAAGATGGGATTAGTTGGGCTCTCAGGGTAGATTAGCCCAACAATCATTTCCAAAGGTCTTTGCAACAAAACTTGCAAAGCAGCATGCTTTCTTTATATATTTACCTATTTTTGGTGTGTCAAAGTCAGTGTAACATTTGCGACACAGTGAGTTATCAGTTACCGATTACATGTGGGAATTTAAGTTTTAGTGTCACATGACCTTAACTGAACAGCTGCAGAAAAGAACACCACTTATTTGTAATGGCAGCTGAGGTATTTTGTACACTGGCACAATAAAGGCCAGTATGATATCACAGTGGCTTTTTGGAGAGCGCATACTTACACACTGTGAGCTAATATGGGAGATCACGCAAAGTCTTTTTTGTTTTTGTTCAAACCACAAGCTTTCACTGCCAGAGCACTTGGCTATGGAACAAAGGAAAAGAAAGGGATTGGGAGTTTCCATTGCTAAGTGTGTGCTAAACAGTGGCAGCTTAGAATTACCTTCTAGACCTTGGGAGGGTTCCCTTTTTTAACTGCAACTTCAGTACTTCTAAATTAGTGGAAAGACATTTCTAAATACAAGAGATTCAGCACTGGATGATAAGTCAAAGTGAAGTGGCTAAATGATACAAGGCGATTAATGATGAAAGCTGAAGCTTTCAGCTGCCTTCCTCAGGTAAGCCTGTTGCCAAGTGCTGGACCTACGTAGAAACGCTAAGCTGACACCTCAATTTTATCAAGGCACTTGGAAAGACTCAGGGAGCCAAATATGGGTTGAATGTTATTTTCTGCAGAGATTCTTGAGAAGAGAAAATAAACATGTGTATCAATTAGATGAAATTCAACAGAGTACAAACAGAAGATTGAAATGAGAGGCACTTCTCCCCTTTTTGATACAGTATGCATGATGAGCCAGCAACTTGGAAAGGGATTTTGGCTCCTGGTGCTCTCAGTGCAGCTCTTTGTAAGAAATATAATTGGACCTTGAAGGGGGTTCCTTCTTATTCCATTTTATTCCCAGTGCTTGCTAAACCCTATTTGACAGTAATTCAATTCATGGCGAATCCAGCTTAAGTTTGAATTCACAGTTTTTTTTGCACGACAGCATAACTTGACTGACACCAAGACACCAGTTCATTAGGAACACCCACAGTAGTTACATAAAGCAGTAGCGCTGTTATCAATGTTTATGGCTGTGCCTGCAGTCATTATGCATTCAGCTGCTCTATGGAATTCCAAAATATAGAAATTAGTTCTTGTCTGTCAACTCTAAAATTGCTGTTAATCCTCACTAATTTGAGATTTTTCCTTTGTTCATTACAGTTTGGATTTCAATAGAATGGTAATACCTGGTGTACAGAGATTGTGTTCTTTCCCAGAAAAAGTCAGTGAAGTGCCAGTAAAAAGGTCACCGGTAAAGCCTCGTAATCTTTAATATCACACCAAAGCTGTCAATCATTAGCTCCATCAAGAACTATGTAAGGGACAAGGATTTCTCCAGTGAGACGTCTAAAGCCAAAGTCCAGTGAACAAACTTCAGTCCAAATATACGTACAGCACAAAGAACAGGTAATAAACAATGAGGTTACTTCTGAGAAATCATTTACAGCCCGTATATAGGCTTCAAGTCTAGGTGCTTCTTCTGAGCTCCTGCTGAAAAGTCTTCTCGTCTGTGCTTGACAAGATCTTTGACTGGATTGAGCATGCGGTCATTGCTGCCTTCACTGACTCATACACAACGCTTTAACATTTGTGGAA